AACCCAACTCCAAACTCAACCCAACCCAAACCCAACTTCAAACCCAACCCAACCCCAAACCCAACCCCAAACTCAACCAAACCCCCAAAGCCAATCCAAACTCAACCCAACCCCCCAAACCCAACTTCAAACTCAACCCAACCCCCAAACTCAACCAACCCCCAAACTAAACCCAACCCCCAAACTCAACCGAACCCCAAACTCAACCCAACCCCAAACCCTTGCAGTCACTCTGAAGCTCCCCGGCGGAACGAAGATGACGACGATGTATCCTGGCCAACGCGAAGCAACCCAACCCAACCCCAAACTCAACCCAACCCCAAACCCAACCCAAACTCAACCCAATCCCAAAACCAAACGCAACCCAACCCCAAACTCAACCCAACCCCAAACCCCACCCCAAACTCAACTCAACCCCAAAGCCAGCCCCAAACTCAACCCAACCCCAAAGCCATTCCCAAACCCAACCCAACCCCAAACCCAACCCCGCCCGCGGCTAACGCGTGTGAAAGGGGGGGTGTTGCGGAAACCAGTTTTGCGGCCTGGGAACCCGAAATCCAAAAATAGGTTTCCAAGGACTCAGAACCCAAAATCAGGAAAACAATAAACTTAAAAAGCCGAGATGCCCGCCTGACAGGGGGGTGAACTATGGCTCTTACGAAAACGGGGTGGGGGTGCGGAATGCAATCAGTGCGCCTCTCGCCGTTGATGATCTCGTCCACGCGTCGACGCTTTAAGTGCACTAGCCGCATGCCGTGGGAAGAGGTGGGTGGGAAGGGAGGGGAGTGCAAACAGCGCACCTCTTCGCGGTGGCTCAGGGTTTAGAGTTTAGTGTTTAGGGTTTTACGGTTGAAAGGTTTAGGGATTTGGGGGGTTGAGGTTTATAAAGGTTCAGGGATTTGGGCAGCAGAAGATCACGAAGAGCGTCCACGAAGAAGAACCTGGCAGGAGGGGGGCGGGGTTCCCGGGAGGAGGGTTGGGACGCAGGGCACTCTAGCTTACGGGATGGGCGGGGGCAGCGCAGGGACACTCCTAATGCAGGGCACTTCCCAACCCAACCCCAAACCCAACCTCTATGCTCCTCCTTTGTCAATGATAAAAACAACAATGTAATAATTGAGCCTGGTGTTGTCCCGCGGAGCACCGGCACAGGGCACTGCCGCCAGGCCAAGCACTCGAGACTTAATTACATGACAAACTGTTGATGATTCTAGATTGCTCTATATAGCATATTTATCCAGGTGCGTCCTACCCCTCTCTTCAACCCAACCCCAAACTCAACTTCAACCCAACCCTAAACCCCGCCTCTAGTGGAATCGAAGATGGTCGCGATGAGTACCTGGGCCAGAGAGTGGGGCCTGGGGCTACCGGGAGAGGGTAGGGACGCAGGGGCACTCTAGTTTTACGGTCCCTAACCCAACTTCAACCCCAACCCCAAACTTAACTTTAACCCCAACCCCAAACTTAACTTCATCCCAACCAAAACCAACCCTCTGTGGGGCCAGGCTTGCTGTGAAGATCGAGGCGGAAGCAGAGCACCTGACCAAAGGCCGAGGGCCCGGGGCTACCGGGAGGGGAAGGGTTTCACCTACCCTATCCTATCCTAACCTACTCTGCAGTTGCAAATCGGTCATGAACTCACTTCTTCAGCACTCTTACCGCACAGCAATCCTACGTCATTCCTGCCTTACAACTAGCACAAGCACTCTGACAGTCCCGCACGCAAGGAAGAGGACCTTGGGGGAGCAGCGCCTGGGCGGAAAAAAAAGAAGAACAGGAGAGCTCCTACATTATGATCATGTTGGCAGTGCGGCCCTGCGACAACAACAAACAACAGCGACACTTGACGGCAACAACAACAACAACAGACACAACAACAGCAATCATAACAATCACATCAGCATCACTGGCCGCACAGTACCAACCACACAATACCAGCCGAGGTAGAAGTGGGGTCCACCTTCAGTGTGCTCTATTTGTGAGATGTGTAGGCTCTCTCTACTACTACTGCTGCTGCTGCTGCTGCTGCTGCTGCTGCTGCTACTACTACTACTACTACTACTACTACTACTACTACTACTACTACTACTACTACTACTACTACTACTACTACTACTACTACTACTACTACTACTACTACTACTACTACTACTACTACTACTACTACTACTACTACTACTACTACTACTACTACTACTGCTACTACTACTACTACACTACTACTACTACTACTACTACTACTACTACTACTACTACTACTACTACTACTACTACTACTACTACTGCTACTGCTACTGCTACTGCTACCACCACTACTAGTAGTAGTCGTAGTTGTAGTAGTAGTAGTACTAGTACTAGTACTAGTACTAGTACTAATAGTAGTAGTAGTAGTAGTAGTAGTAGTAGTAGCAGTAGTAGTAGTAGTCGTAGTCGTAGTAGTAGTAGTAGTAGTAGTAGTAGTAGTGGTGGTAGCAGTAGTAGTAGTAGTAGTAGCAGTAGCAGTAGCAGTAGTAGTAGCAGTAGTAGTAGTAGTAGTAGTCGTACTAGTAGTAGTAGTAGTACTATTATTTATTGAACGCTGAGCGAGCGGGCTCTGCTCATTGCGGGCGATTTGCACCGTCTGAGCACGGGTTGGAGCTAATGGTTAGGAGAGGTGAAACTGAATTCAACACTGAAAAGAAAGGTGAGACTTTACAGGATTTGGGACAGAGCTAGCTAGCTAATGTTAGGCTAGGTGTAGCTTAGCGCTCAGATGTGAAAAGGTCTTCTCCCCGTCGTCCTAATGTGTCTCACTGCGTCCAGTAAACACGCACCGATCTGCAATTGGGTCGTACCTGTTGGCCGTCGCCCATAGTGTCCATCTAGTGGCGTCCCACATGGATCACTTTGCAGAAAGGCAGAGGATCGTAGGAGGATCAGCTGGCTTGGTTTGCCGGCAGGAGCAAGTGTGCCATGGAAGGTGGTCTTGGCCGCAGGGCTCTAGATCGAGCGACAGCACTTCGGCATTAAGGGGGGGAAGGGGGGGGGGGCTTAGTGAAAGCACTCCAAGCTTGAGCCCTAAGGTTGCAGTCTGCCGACTTGCGGAAGGGCTCGCTTTACAGATTTTTAGCAGGAAGCAGAGCATTGTGCACGCAGACCCCAGGGGTAGAACTGCAGTAAATCCCCTCCTTATGTTCGTCGAAGGGTGTGCTGCTCCGAGTCTCGTGGACTCGGCCGTATGGTGGTTGTCGTGGTGACCGGGTCTGGGTAACCTACCTAATTTTGGACGTAAAAAAATATCGGGGCACCGCCCCCCCCCCAGATTCAGGAAAGTAACGCATTCATGCTTTGAGGTTTATGGTTCGGGCCTTAAAAAAGAGTGCACTGACATGACCTGTATCTGGTGACAATCTGAAATTGCAAAATCTCGTAGTTTCAGTTTTTACAATGAACAACCATAGAAAAACAAAAGAAAAAGACCATCCCCAACACTGGTTGATACTGTGTTTTTCTCTTCTTGGCGAATGCATATTTCGGTATTGTTAGTGTGCTTCGCAAGCAATGCACGTCATTCGCCTTGAGCTTTGGACAAACGATTCTATTTACATTCGTCATACGTCGCAGCCCTTAAGACCCTAAAACACCCCAACCCTCCCTGCCTGACCCTACCCTCCACTCTTCCTTCCCTTGCCCACTATGACTCATCAACTAAAACACCGAAACCCCGCACTCTTCACATTTTCCTGGCACGCAGCTGGAAGTCCTGGAAGAAGACTCTTGTTAAGGCTTTGAGTCGAGTGACACCAGTGAATCGAGCGAACCGAATGAGTCGAGTGAGTTGAGGGAGGCCCACCGGCCCACCTTTAGTTCGACTCTGGCACTGCCTTAAACAGAGCTTGCATGCCTTCTGACCGCACAAGCCCAAACCTTTCATCAGTAACCCCACTTGCTGCACTTGCACCGTTTGCCTGATCCTCCCTCTTCTTTGTTGCTGTTCGCAACTTTTTCTGAAGGTTGCCCACCTGCTGCCGGAGGCCCGCATTCTCTGTTCGCAAGACATCCAATGTCTCTTTCTGGCTCGTATTTACCAGCCTGAGTTCTGCCTCATGCTTCTTCAGACCATCGATTTCTTGCTCCAAGCAAGTAATCTCCAGATCCTTTTCGTCGAAAGGCTTTCTCTTTTTCAACTGCTCAGGCTCAGCAACGGCAGCACCATTGCTCGTGACTTGCTGGAACTGCTCACCATTGGAAAGCAGGCCCTCTGTGCCCTCCATTTCGTTGTCTGCATGGACACCAGGCCACTCCTGGGTCTCTTCGGAGTCTGACATGGCAACACTCGGCTAGACATATACTTTACTCTACTCTACTCTACTCTACTCTCTCACTGTCGCTATGTCGCCCTTCCTACACATCTACCTTTTCGCGATCTCACGCTGGTCACTGCTGATCATGTCTCTCGTTAACGTCGTCGCTCTCTGGCATTGTGTGTAAAGCCTTGCAGATCTTGAGCATTGAGTCCGGCTCGAGCAATGAATGCTAACTCTGACCACGGCAATCTAAATCGCACCTTACACATGGCTGTTGTTTTGCCACCATCGCTGCTTGCGGACGTCGCTCAGAACGGATGAAAAAATGCTCAAAATGCAAATGGCTGCACTGCTGGCAGAAGCCACAAACTCTGGACGCTGGTTGCTAGCTACTAGATCTCAGACGGCCTCAAGGACGGACACACAATCGCTAACTTAACAAAATTCGGGCCACGAGGATTCGAGAGTCCCTCCGGAATCTGGCATGAAGCTTTGCTCCTGTCTGTGACTCCGGGTTTCACGCCTGGCCACGGGATTCCAGCAAACCCCGCAGCCACAGGGACTCGAGAGCCCCGCTGGAATCTGACTTGAAGCATACGAAACACACTAAGATTCTGGACTCGCCAAGAATCAAGGGCACGAGGATTCGAGAGCCCCTTGCAAATCTGAGATGAAGCTAGCTTCCAGTCTTCGAGCTGCGAGATCCCGTAGGTCTCACTGCTCCTGCTGTTTTTGCAGGAACTCGAGCATCTTGTGCAGCCTGTCCTGCTCGCTCACACTCCCTTCCGAACGCATTTGCTGCAGCCACTCTTTCATGGGCCCAATGAAAGCATCCCGAGCAATGAGCTGCCGGATGCTGTGAGTGTCCTCGTCTGCTCCCGCCCACTCGAACCAACAAGTGTTTGGTGGAACCAGGACGCTTCCCCCCGCTTGGAGTTTCACCACCCAGCCATTTTTGGCAACCTCCGCTGTCACATGTGTGGCAGGCATTGCCTCCAGCTTCTTGAGCTGACCAGCAAGGCTTTCATCACCAAGCATTTTCGATGGGAATCCGCCGACCTTGAGGGAGCCTTCCAGCACGACCAGCAGCATGGGCAAGTTCATCTCTGTTCGCAAATAGACATTGACACTTTGCTGGACTCGCTGCCCGAACTGGACGGCAAAGAGGTCCGACAAGTCATCGGGCAAGCCCCTCAGGCCATCGTTGCCCGTGACCTCACTCCAGCTCTTTCGCACCAAATCAGTGACTTTCGCCGCCACTGCCTTCTTTGAGATAAGTGCCGAGCATGCTGTGGCCTTTGATGACGCCATCTTCTCAGCGACCCACGCTTTCTGCATGTCGTAGTACTCCAAACCCCTCACGGCCTTCAGCAAGTTCTGCGCCCGCTGGCTTTCGAACACACAAGGCAACGACTGCTTCAGGAGTGGCTCAGCTGCGAAACTGTACAGCACCTTGCCACACGCTTCAAGGGTGTGGCACTCCTTGGCCAGAGCCGTAGCTAACAAGTTGAGGCAGGAGCCCTGGGCCATTTTTGCCATCCTCCTGCCAGCCGCAGTTTTTTGGGCTGCCTTCTCTCTGTCGTTGATTGCTTTCTTGGTCTTCGTCACCCAATTCCGGAGTTCCGCAATCCTGTTCTTGACTTCTTTCACGTCGCTGTCGCTGGTGTGGAAGGCCTTCATGTAGTCTGCCACTGCAGCTCTCAGTCTTGCAACCTCTTCAGCATCCACGGTGTCACCCTTCAGGGCATTCTCCCACTCTTTCTCCTTCTCACGGATGCTCTTCTCCAAGGTTTCCATGGCTTGCTGCACTTTGCAGATGTTCTCCTCCCGCTCCTTCTTCAAGTCATCGCCCTCGGTTTCAATGACTTTGTCGCTGTCGAGCTCGATGGCTTTCAGGGTTGTCTGCTGCCGCAAAACCAGGTCGGTCATGCTCTGGCTGGCCTTCTTTCGAGCAGCATCAAGGGCCAACTTCTCCAAAGGCAGGCTCTTGCCCTGTGCTTCCTGTTTCTTCTTCCTTTCTTCTTGCTGTGCCTTCCGCTGCTGCAGGAGGTCCGAGGCCTGCTGGTGGAGTTCCAAGTCTCTGGCCTCCTCCTGCTCCTTCAAGTGACCGAGGTCTCGAGCAACGTGCAAGAGGGGGATCACGTTCTGGGAGTCGCCGTCAGCCGCCGCATTGGCAGTCATTTCTACCTCAAGTCTGGCCCTTGCCCTCTTAACTCTGCTGTCAGCTTCATGGTTGTACTCATCCAGGTCCTTCTGCTCTTCGATGTCCATTCGCTGTCTCAAGGCAGCCTTCATTCCATGGGCCTGACGAGACCGCACCTCGATGCCACCGAACTCATAGATGAGGGTTTCGCCATTCTGCTTCATGGTTCGTGTGGTTGGGTCGGCAATGAGCTTGTCCCAGGCAAGCTTGGCTTCCGCAATGGTGGCATAGGTCTTTAATGCCATCTCACCTTGGGCCCAGATCCTGAAGGGGATATACTTGTCGATATCGTCAGTCAATGACGATGCCTCTCTCGTCTCCTCGACGCTGCCCACAGCCGAGGAGAAGCTCCTCTTCTTGGTGTGGTCCTCCATTGCCCTCGCAGACTTCTGCTCAAAGTACCAGGCCTTTTTCTCTTCAGGAGTTTTCTTCTTCAGGTCTTCCTTGACTTTGCAGGCATTGGTTCGCCTTGTCTTCTCCTCCTCCGTCTCTGGTCGGCCGCTCTTGGGCTTATGTTGGCTCCTGGCCAGCCAACGGTCCGTTGCCAAACACGCATTGCATGCCCTCAGCAACGGGTTCCTGCCCGTTGCTGCACTTTGTCCCATCGACGTGTGGTCACCACACTTCTGGCACAGGAGCTGCTCAGGTGCCCCGAACCCAGAGCTGTCACTTGCTGGGGCACCCTGGCTAGAGCTGGCAACAGACATGGTCAGCCTTCACAAAAGTGACTTGTTGTCAGGGCACAGGCTTCGTCAACAAACCGAAATGGCTACGGATATATGAGTTACAACCTAACGCAATGCAGTGATAGACAACCGTGCAGACACACCTGCTGACAAAGGAAACACTCATCTTCTACATCTGCACATGCTTCGCTTGATTCCACGGTCCACCAGCTTGCACAGTCATGTCGGCTCCTGCTGGTCTAGTTGCTAAAGCTCTACGATGCTCACGAGGAAAAGCTAATTATCAATTATGAATTAAAATTTGCACTCAGGACGGGCCCTTCTGTCGCACTCGCCTTTGAGGAGAGGCCAAGTCCAGCACCTGGCTGGCAGCATGTTGCTTGAGCTGTCCTGCCTGCCACACTATTCCGCTCGCTTGGCAGGGCCTCTTTCTTTTGGGCAGCTCTGCTGGTTCTTCCTTTGTGCTTGCTGTCTCCTTTTTCACACAAACACTTTCACGCTTCACATCCTGATTCTCGTTGTTGCCAGCAAAACCCAACAGTTCGCTTGCCGACGGGCACAGGGATCTGAGCTCGGACTCAGTCAAGGTCTCTGGCTTCTCCTTTAAGCACCCCCTGACATAGGCTGCCTCTAACAAGGGGCAAAGCATGGCAGCAAGTTGCAGGGGATGGTAGGCATTGCCCACTGCCCTGGCTGCATCTGTTTTCGTACGGAAGAGCATACACCCACGAGGATCATGCCCCTGAAATCGGTATCTTTCCTCCAAGGAAAGGAACCTGTGCAGCTGGTGCTGGTGCCAAAGTTTTTCGTGCTGCACATCCTCGCAATGCAACAAGAAAAGCCTGGGCCCGCTTGTTCTCAAGGCCGGAATGCAGTCGTACAGTACGGTGCAGCTGAATTCCCTCAAGGGGTTTCTGTCCAGCTGAAGAACTGCAATTTCTCCGGCCTTCCCCTGCTGCACATCCTGCACAATGGTCCTCATATACACAGCCAAATTGCAACGCATCGTGGCAGACAAGGATGTCGGGTTGATGGGGTCGATCTTTTTGTCCAGCATTCCCTCGAAAGAGAGCCGACCCCCAAGCTCAGCAGCTGTCAATGGTGGCGGTAAAGAAGTCCGCCATCCATTGCAATCCATTCTCAACCCTCTGATCCACATTCGCTGACGCTGCTGTGGACAAAACTCGCTCAAGTCATGCACCGTGGCTTCGACCACGAACATTGGCAAACACAGCCTCAATGTTCTCAGCACCTCCTGGCTGTAGGGGTCCATCATCAACCTGGCCGAGTTTTCTATCGTGAAGGCCACCAGCTGGCCTTTCCAACCCAATTCGATTACCCACGACACACAAGTCTCGAACACATCGCTTCTTTCGTTCAAGACACCATCGCCTTTGCCTGTGCCTGCCCATGGCTGGCAGGGTGGCCCTGCACAAAAGATCTCTGATGGTTCCAAGCTCGCCAATGGAAATGTGTTCACATCTCCAGCAAACTCCCCAATGTGCAAGCCTTCCTCCATGTCTTGCTGCTGTTGCTGCAATCCTTTGTGGTAGGCAGACAAAGCATCGTCCACATCAAAGGCCTGTGTGGGTCGGTATGGGCTCTCGCAGAGCTGACACAATCGACGAAGGCCGCCGAGGCCCAAACATGGCTCGGTTACTCGCACCGGCCGACCGAGAACTCGCAGCACACGCCCTGCCCTGTAAGCTGCAAGCTTCAGGTCCATGGGCTCCTTGCCCATGGACCGACTTCCATGTTCCGGCAGTGCAAACATAGCTGCAGACGCCGTACGAATGCCTAAAGATTCATCTATATGCGAGAATGAATGTTCTACCCAATATGCAAGATACAAGATACAGCCCAGAACAAAGAACGCTGAAACTACAATCGTCTGTGGTGACAAACGCCAGCTGGAGCACAGGTGCACATGAGACACAGCATCGAACGCGAACTCAATGATAGGTTTACACAATGTGGGGGTGGTGTGTCTGGATCGTGGCAAAATTGTGAGGCTGCACAAACTGGCTCCAGGAACATGTTTGCATGAAAACATGATAGTCTGCTCCATCGCATTTTTTTACATTGTCTTGCTGCCATCTTGACTGTTGACCGTCGGGCTTCCAATGGTTTCCATTGTGCCAGAATTAAGGTCTATTCCGGGGCTACTATAATTTCACTCGGCCCACATGCTGCAGAAGCATGTGAGCAAAACCTACATTAATTAACTTGCAGGCCCCTTTGCAGAACACCTGCTGGCTGCCTGCTGCAGCTCGCAAACATGTGCTCTGCACTGGTGCTGGCTCAGTGCTGTCGAAGCCATGATTTGGTGACGGGAAACCACTCCCACCACCACACATTCTCCGTCACACGCCAGCACCATCGCCACTCTTCCTTGTTTCTGGGGCTCCGTGAGCGGGGCGGGTGCTGCTCACGGGCCCCCGTTCCAGAGTCCTCGACGATCTGCTGCTTTGTCTGGCCTGTCTCGTTCTCGACTCGATTTCCCGCCCTGCGAGTGGGTGTACGCGAACGAGCCATGGTGGACAGTACACTGTCTTGGGAAGAGCCGAAAACTAACGGCAAACAACGCCGCACGTCCAACAAGCACACGAAACCCTGAGGAATGACAGCCAGCAAGCAATGGGCACGGGAAAAACGGGCACAGAGTCTGGATGTGGCCCCAGAAACCGTAAACCCTCAACCGCCTCAACCCTCAACCCTAAAGACTAAACCTAAACCATTGCTAAACGCTAAACAATAAACCCAAACCCTTCACAGCCGGACACGGGCGGTGCAAGGGAGGAACAAGGGTGGGACCAAAGCGTGACGTGGGTGAGGGGACGTGGGTGGGACGGGCAGGACGCTGGTGGCGGGATGCCGGCTGGATGGGCGGGACGCTGGCGGGACGTGGGCGGGACGTGGGCGGGATGCGGGCGGGACGCTGGCAAAACGCTAACGAGACGCTGGCGGGACGCTGGCGGGACGCTGCCGGGACACTGGCGGGACGCTGGCGGGACGCTGGCGGGACGTGGGCGGGACGCTGGCGGGACGCTGGCGGGACGTGGGCGGGACGTGGGCGGGACGCGGGCGGGACGCGGGCGGGACGAGGGCGGGACGTGGGCGGGACGTGGGCGGGACGTGGGCGGGACGCGGCGGGACGCCGGGACCCACACCAGGACAGGCCGGGACAGGCCGGGACACTGCCGGGACACTGCCGGGACACTGCCGGGACACTGCCGGGACAGTGCCGGGACACTGTCGGGACACCCCCCCCCCCCAACCCCACCTAAAATCACACACAAAAATTGGTTTGGGACGACCCGTGCTAGAACCCCACCCCAAACAAGCAAGACGCACCCTTCTTTTTCACTTGGAAGAGCTCCAGCTCCCAGTTCCGCACTCCGGCGCGGCTTGTGCCACCCTAATCAACCCAAAACCCTCCTATCTGGGCCATAACTGCTAGGGCTATAGGGCCTAGCAGTCCCTAGCAGCTTGCTCCTACTCTTGCTCTTCGCACAAGCCTACCACCCAGTGTCATCTGGTGCTTTTGCACCTCTGGCGGTGAAACCACAACTACAAGATTCTGTTCCCCATATCCAGGAGCTTTTCGAATGCTCGCAGCCTTGAGCGTTCCCTGCTCCGGGATCGCTCCTCCCGCTGCCCTCCGGGGCCGCTGGATGGCCCTGGTGGCTCTGGGCTCTTCTCTTCACTCTTGACCGAATGGTGTCCAGAGCGGCGGCTTCGGGCACTTCGGGCTCGGCTTGGCATCCTCGACTTTTTGGGCTGCTTCTTCTCCTTTTTTTCCTTCTTGTCTCTGCTCCTGCGAACTGTCGAGGCTGTTCGCAGGTGCACCTCTGCAGGCTGGCTTCTGGCCCGTCCCTTGTCTTGGACCTCTGCCCGAGCTGGAGAAGCGGCCCCTCGTTCTTCTGCAGCTTGCTCCGAAGGCATCCTTGCTCGAGGAGGATCCTTCGGCTCCGCCGGGGGCTGGTTGAGCCAGCAGCGGTGCTCGTGCTGGTCCCTGGCTGTTGCTTGGTAAAACATCTTGTCGCAGTGCATGCACTGGAACTCAGCCTTGTACTCGATGCCCTGGTACTTTTTTTGCCACCAAAGGCACATCGAGTTCTGTTGGAGGTGAAGCCACATGGTGGTCCGTGGCTTCACCTGCCAACACACAGGGCACCGCACCTTCTCTTCCTGCCATTGCCCTTTGTAAAAGCCAGCAGCCTTGTCGGCAGGGAGGTCCCGGATCTGGAACTGTGGAACCTCCCCGCCGTAGGGACCGAACAGCTCCTGGTCCCTCTTCTGCCCAGCCTGGGGTGTGCTGCCTTCCCCTTCGTCTTGGGTCGTCTTCTCCTTCTCCTTGTCTGCAGCATTGCTCACCAATGACCAGGACGTGGGCCTTGAGCTCCCTTCTCCCCTTTCCGTCTCACGGCCTCGCTTTTTTTTTTTCAGGTTTATGGTCTTTTGCCATTTCTGATGGCTGTCGCTCACGGCCCTCATCTTGCCGGGCCTTCGTCTCTGACCGCTCTTGCCCACGGCGAGAGCCCCGACGTCCTCGTTCTCTTTCGCTGCTCCCGGATCGCGACTGCTTCCGGCTACGGTCTCGGCGGCTCTTCCGTTCCGTCTCAGTCGACTCTTGCCGACGACGGCCCCTAGCCGGGGAATCCTTCGAGGTCTTGGAGCCCGAGCCATCACCCGAGCCAGAGCCTTCTTCTGAGGACTCCTTGTCCTTCTTCTCCTCATCCGATGACCGGTGGCTTGGGCTCTTTCTGTCCTTCTTGTCGTCCTCATCGGATGACCGGTGGCTTCGGCTTTTTCTGTCCTTCTTGTCCTCCTCTTCGGAGGACCGGTTGCTCGGGCTCTTTCTGTCCGCCGAGCAAGCTCGCTGCTTCTCGGCCCCGCCAACCGCACCAGTCGGCCCAGCCGCTTTTGCTTTTGCCGTGTTCGGCCCAGGCATGTTTCTCCTGACAGGGAAGGCAAAGAAGAAAAAACACTCTCGCTTTTAGCCCTTAACCCACAGCCCCTCGATAAACCCCTTCGCTTGCTCGCCGCCTGCATGCCCTGTCTGTCAGCACCTGCAGGCCCGAAGGCCCCGGCCACTGACAAACAGGGCACCGACTGCACGAGCTTCCCTCAGCACCTGCAGGCCCGAAGGCCCCGGCCACTGAGGCGAGACGAAGCCCTGAACCCTTAACCCTTGACCCAAAACCCTTCCTAAACCCTGAACCCTAAACCCTAAACCCGAAACCCTAAACCCTAAACTAAACCCTAACCCGTAACCCCTAACCCCTAACCCCTAACCCCTAAACCCTAAACCCTAAACCCTAAACCTCAAACCCTCAACCCTAAATGCTAAACCCTAAACCCAAAACCCAAACCCAACCCTCGCATGGCCTGGGTGTCCGCTCCCTGCTCCTCCCAGCACCCATAAGCCCAAAATCCTGCAGCACAAACACAGCTCAAAAGGGACATGACGGGAGACGCAGTGAGCAACAGCACAGTGTTTGGGGGGATTTTTTTTCACAAAACTCGCTGTTTGATCGACAAGACGCCTAGGCCCCTAAGTGCTGCCTATCCTTGCATCTCTTGACACTCTGACTCGTGGGATTGAACTTGACATGCTCAGCTCCTGTCTCAAATCTCGAAGCTTCCATCACCCACGCTAACAGCCATGCCACCGCAGTGGCCTTGTCAGAATGCTGTCGCAGGAAAGTGTATCTCCTGCAGTTGCCATGAGATGCTTCCCTGCACTGAACGAAAGCTCGCCGATGGCCACTCTGGTGAGTCCAGTTATCATAATGGACTACAAAGTCGTGCATCCCTGGGATTCGGCACGGCACAGAAGGCTCTGCTGGCAAGTCCAGAGCCAGCGACAAAGGTTTCTCCACAGCCCGAAGCCCACGCTGCTGTGCATCCTGTGCTGCCCGGGCAGCTTTCCGCTTTCGATCTGCAGCAAACTCACGGCACTGCTGCAATGACCAACTCTGCACATCGGACAAATCAGCTGCTGTCAAAAGAAAGTCGTAGAAAGCAGCAGAGCCTGAATGGGAAATTCGCAACAGTCCCCCAGGCTTTTCGAAGATGCTCTCATGGACACGGAGTGCCTTCAAGTGGCTCTCTGGTCGCTGGATTATGTTTTCAGGCAGCTTCCTCTCACCACCTTTTCTATGCCAGTCCTCGACATCATCAGCTGGCTGCCATCCATCCTGAACCAAGGATTTCAGCCAGGCAAGCTTGTTTCTGCCAGGTGGGTTTCGCATGCAAACCTCATCCGCACAGAGACTTATGGGGTCGGTCAGACTCAAAACGCTGACAACGTTCGTGGCATCACTCAGTGCAATTTCCGTTGAGCCAAAAGCATCCTCACGAAGCTTGATGAGACCTCGACGGTGAAGACCTGCAGCTGCTTCCGTATTGTAATACGGAAGATCAAGAGGCGCCTGAAAGTTTTCACCCAGAGCTCGGCTCTCAAGCAAAGTTTGGAGGAGGGCTTCTTCGTGCTGTGCTAGAATTCCTGCCAGGGTTGCCACGGCCTGTGGCTGTTGCTGAGATGCTTCCGCCACGGACAGGGCCTGTCTGTCAGGCTGTGCTTCTCCTCGCAGATCCTCCAACATGTCGTCATCGGTCACGAACGCAGGCAAGCTAAGCGAGTGGGACGGGTAACCATCCGGCGACACCTGAGGTCCCTCAATTGGCATGACCTGCACTTGCAAGGATTTGGCAGTTGATGCCCAAAGTGTGCACTGAGACTCAAGCAGCTTCAAGCCAGCCGGAGTGGCCAGCTTTAGCAAGTCTAATGTGTGCCGGGCCGTGTGGGAGTATGTGACCCGGGGCTCTGCTGGGCTCTGCAGGTCCACATTCAAGAACCTCAGGACTTTCATGTGGCCACGCCTGTCCACGTGAGTCAAGCCTTTTTGCTGTGCTCGTTTCTCGGGCTTCGCATCCAAGACATAGCAGTACACCAACTCGCTGGGGGGGAAAACGGCCTCCTCTGTCATGAACGCATCGACAAAACTCCAAAGGTCCAAATTCACACCCTCCTGCAAAGCCTCCGACTCGGCATCTGGCAAAAGCGAATCGAACAACATCTCCGGCACACTGAAGAGCATGCCAGACTCGAGCTGGCTTTTGATGTAGTCCACAATCATCCACTGCCGTTTGTCCAGGGACGATGCCACCTGGTGCTGTTCGTCACCAGCCTTTAACGCCAGGGTCGTGGCTGCTTGCAATGCCTGGGCCGCCTGCTCCTCTTCACGCAGACCATCCAAGAAATGGTCGGCCTCATTGTAGCCATAAATCCGGGACACCAGGTAACTCTTCGTCTTCCTGGCACACTCTTCCTTGGTCAACAGATGGGAAAGAAGATCTGCTTCCAACCCTCGTCGCTTCCATTCCCTTGCTAGAAAGGCACACTGCCGTGCATCGTCGATCATCGCCTGCAGTTGGGCACGCCGGGCACGCACACATGTCATCGCAGGCCCCCCAAACCTCAGGGTTCTCCGGCCCCCGATCTTGATCAAAACATGCTGTCTCTCAGTGCTCCGCTCAACCATGGAGCAAGACGCTCGCTCTTGAATTTCTGCCCAAGCACAGGGAAAGTTCTCCAGAGTCTCGTCAGGTGAACTTTGCCCAAAAGCCCACAATTGGTCAGCCAAGCCCGCATCGCCACGACGCTCGAACAAACCTTGAAGAAGTGCATTCGTTCGACCCTGTTCTTTCAAAGCATTATACTCCTCAAAACATTCCCGCACAATCCGTTTGCTGTGCTGCAAGCCATACAAGTCGGGCCTGGCATGGTGGGCATAGGCCCCTGCCAGCCGATGTGGCACGTGGTCCAAATACTCCAGCTTCTCCTTCAAAATGGATGCCCATTTGTCACGGGCCTGTTGGTCCAGCAAAGCCATCGCAGCAGACACCTGGGTAGGAAGTTCGAGCATGGTCTCTGTGAAGCTGGTGCTGGTCACACGATGCACCCTGCTGATCACTTCGTCCTTCCGTCCGGCACAGAGCACGCTGGAACGCCGGCCTTTCCACGGGCACTTGATGGACGCCCTTCTGGCTTTGGTTTTGCATTTCCTCAGGGCAGCATCGTGACAAAAACATCCTTCGCTCCAATGTGCAAGTTCCTGCACAAAGCTCGCAAACATAAACGCCCACTGCACGTAGGCAATATGAAATGGGTCCTGCAGTGCACTCGAGACAAGATCACACAAAGCAGCTTCAGACGACAGAAGCCCACGATCCCAGTATTTTGACAGCAAAGGCCGGACTTCCAGGTAGTGCTTCAAGGTCTCATGCAGGGACTCCCATCGCCAGGACAAGAGCTCGCCATGATAGCCCTGCACAACTTTCTTCTCTTGTGCTGTCGCCTCTTGCATCATCCGGGAAAGAACAACCTCACGAAAGGAACGGTTTGTCAGCAACTTGCTCACAGCACTGACTTCTTTTTCCACTTGGTCCCACCTGGGGCAGGACTTGCAGGTCTCCTCGAGAGCATTAAAAAGAATGTGGAGCAAACCAGCATGTGTAAAACTGTTAAACAAGAATTCTTGGCTCGTTCCAGTCGCCAGCAACTCCAAAGAGGGCTGGTCTTCTGCCTGCAACGCAGCCGCCAGCTCGTTCATTCGCTCGCCGGCTGCCATTGGCCAATGAGGGATGCCACGTTCCGTTCCCTGATCGGAAACCCAACCTTTCACCTGCTTTCGGTACATGTCCAGGTTCGCCTGCCCGTACTCCAGTATGATGGCAGACCTCAGCCGCTGTGCCTTCACAAGGTTCGGGTCTCACCTCGAGCAAGTGTCATGATAGGCATGGTTCGAAACTCGTGCTCGAAGCCGGACCACGGATTGGAAGAAGGAATGACCGGCAAACGCCTAACCAGAACTTCCTCAGTCATGGCCAAGTACTCATATCCACCCTGTGGACTGGCATCCATGGACAGGAACCTGCTCACAGACTTGTCCCCGTCACGCACTTGCTCTTGCATTACGCACCGCCCGTGCAGCATGTGCAGCCAATCCAATCGAAGCATCTGTTGCCTCACCTTGTATCTGCCCGGCACAGAAGCCAAGGCCTCCTGCAAGACATCTCCCCGGATTGTTCCTGTGAAGGGCCCGAGAAAATTGGCCACGCAACTGACAACCCGAGGCAACTCGCTTGGATTCTGTAGCATGAAATTCAAGCGAACAATCTGGATTTCTTGCAAGGGGGTCAAGGGATGCTTTACTTTCTCAATTCTGGCAGCAACAGCTGCTGATTGTCGCCGAGGGGGCGGCGATTCTTCCCCAGCCCCTTGAACAGCTTCCGGATCCTCGCCGTCACTATCGCCACGGGTTTCGTCGGGGTTTCCCTGTGCCGCTTGCTCTGGCACAGGCAAGGGCACAGGCTCTGCTACTTTCACATGCAAAGCCGCCACAATCGAGTGGGGTGTCCAAAGCCTCAGATCTTCTGAGACATGGTCCTGGGCCTGTGCCTGGGACAGGATATCCAAACCCGCAGGTACCTGCAGCATCCAAACCTTTTTCTGCACAAGTTCTGCCAACGTGTTCTCCTCAGCATCTCCAAGCAAATGGCTTCCTGACGCCCGACTCAGCACACTGCACAGTTCTGCTGGGGGCCTGCTGCCACGCTGGAGTTGCTTGCCAGCAAACTGCTCCCGACGCAAGCAAATGGGAGCATCAAAAGCAAAGAGACGGTCAAAACTCCAACAAAAGAACTCTTCTTCTGTTCCCCTTGACCCTTCTGAGCCCGGCCGTTTTCTGTGTCGTGTGTCATTAAACCACTGTTGACACTGAAGCGCCTCAGCCGGGCTCAGGGCCCCCTCCTTCAAACAAACCTGTGTTGCCCTAATGGCGACACAAGCCTCCGCATGATGCTCCACCCCTTTTTTGACAACATACAGCACAAGCCATTGTGGCAGTGTGGCACCCTGCTTCGGGATGTGCTGACGGTTGCCTTTCTTATGGTCCAAGGAAAAGTTCGCTGGAAGCTCCACCAGCAAATTGTCCACCATGGCTGTCTACACTACACAATATTGGGTCTGCCTGCGAAAATAGCCTGTACCTGATACTACCACCCATAAAATCTTGTATTTTCTTGATTTTGCTGTGCTAATGTTCACCACCCCACACGTGTCGTGTCTGCCGTGTTGCAAATATATTTTGAGCAAAACAATAGAGCAGGCAAACATTTATCCCCAACCCCCAGTACTCTAACACACACTCTTTTTCATCCACAGGGTGGAGGAGTATGCAGCATGCATGTTCGCAACGCAACATCGCATGCAAAGCTGCATTGTTGCACAAACCTTGGCTTGCCAGACGGATCACAATTTTGGCGCGAAATCGAGCAAAACTGAGTCTCGGCCAAAACCCCCCCCCAAACCTCTCCGGGAGCCCCCAGACCCCGCCACCACGACAACCACCATACTCGGCCGGCGGTCCACCGGGGTAAACCGCTCAATGCGGCAATTCCGGCATCGGCACCTCATGCTTTATTGCAACAGGAACGGTTGAGGCCAGCCACAACCCTTTCTACAATGAGTGGGGTTAATGCACCGTAACCATTTGGGATCTCTGCGCAGCTGCTTAGCTTGCCTGGAACTGCTCCTCTTCTCAAGAAAGAGTCCGGCGCCCGTAGGTGCACCCTTGTGTGATTGGCGATTACTGTATTTAGTTGGGCCAGCTTCCAAGGCACAAGCAGCGTGACTTGAGCTCTGCTTCCTGATTCAGATGTAGGATTCTTACAGGCGCAGGGTAAGGCAGCTTGCAGAAGTAAGGTGCTGGCAAGCCTGATGAAAGCATAACAGTTGCTGTTTGTTCCGCGAGCTGGCTGGTCTGAAGGCGTGGCTCTCGTATTGCTGTAGCGCAGGCTGTGCCCGCTGAGATGAACTGCAGTGCAGTTCATGTCACGACGGCCTGCCACTGATAGATTTCAGCAACTGCCTCTCCACTGTCTTTGGACCTGAGCGCTTTGCACCTGCGCACCTGACAGTCCTTCTGGCATAGCTGCTTGATTGGGACCTTAGACCTGGGCACCTTGCACCTGTGCACCTGACCTGGGAGTCCTGCCAGCCTGGCTGTTGCATTGAAACCTTGGGCACCTTGCACATGTGCACCTGGGAGTCCTGCCAGCCTGGCTGCTGGATTGGGACCTTGGGCCTGGGCAGCTGCGCTGTACCCCAAACCCTAAACCCAAAACCCAAAACCCCAAAACCAAAACCCCAAACCACAAAAACTCCAAAAACCCAAGACCCCAAAAACCCCACAACCTACCAAAAAGCTCACAAAGAAGCTGTGGTGAGAGGTTATCGAGCGCTGACAGTGGGGAGGGGGGCAGCAGCTGTGCTGCAATTCTGGTCGCACTGCTGGACAGTTGCGACTAGTGACGCTCAGAGGATCACTGCATCGTCACTTGATGCTTCAGGGAATGTCAAAAAGAAGATGTATGAACCATGACGCACTGGCCTCATGCTCCCATGGCTCCATCCAAAGCTGAATTTGAAGGGCTCGCCTCCGTCCCGTCCATCTCAAGCCGAAGAAGCTGAACTCGAAGCGCCATGGGGGCAGGCGCGAAGGGCTCTCATGGCCCCGCCCCCCCTATGGCCGCCTGAGCCATGGACTTGTCTTTGATCAGAGTCCGTTGCCTTCAGTGATCGCCGGTGGTCGTCCGTCGACTGCCACTCCGACGTCGGTGTTGACCTCCAAATAGTGCGGTCGTCAATGCAGCTATGCAGGCTATGATAGCCACTACCACTTTGGATCCATCACTGCGATCACTTCAACCGCTACTGAGCCTCCTCTCGAACTCGGCACAGTCCAGTGCTGCATCCCCCCTCCCTAATCAACTCATTCAGCCTGCTGCCAAGATGGAGCAAGACTCGGCAGAATTCCTGCAGAGCTTCCTGGCAGCTGCTTCTGAGCTCCCTCTAACGCGTAGATAGGCAACAGTTGATCTGACCACGGGGAGTTTGGCGGTGGAGGAAGGATCCCTCATCATGCTCATGCAACACTCGGCCAGCAGGCCACTGCAGCCTGCAGCGCGGCGCGTGAAGCGGCGCGGTAACCGCTTGAGAAGTAGCGCCCCTTCGGGGCGCCGCCGCAGGCGGCGCCTCCTGAGGCGAAGCTCGGCCATAAACCAACGAAAACGGTCGCCGCTTACAAGCACAGCGCCCAGAGAAGTGCTACCGCTTGAGGCGCCGCGCAAAATAAAGGGATCCGCACAAGGTATCCAGAAGCAAGTACATGGCGGCCACCCTAGAGCTTCACTGGTTGCAGAAACCCACCTACCCGACGTCAACACCGAACTCCAAAACTCCGAAGCCTCCAAGCTCTAAACTCGCCAAGCACACATCAAAACATCTTCTGCGAGATGTCGCGCCCGCCAAGATTTACAGGTTCGGGCAGAAATCACTTCCCTACGGCCTACAGTCAAGAGTTCTGCCTCTGCTAGCATCATCTGATTGGTGAATTAAATGAAGAACGCGATATACGAGCAGAAAAGCATGCACCCGAGAGCACATAAGGGAAGCGGAAATCGTGGTGGCGCGCCGAAAAACCGGAACAGTTGCCTCGATCATGGACAGACCATTCCGACAAACCATATGGGTACCCACGCTGCCTCTGCGCAAATGGTGGCAATTGCATTCCAGCTCATAACTCGCTGTTGGCAAAAAGGGTTGGCCCTCCAGCTGCGTAAGATTGACGGACATGGCTGCCTTGTGTGGCAACAATGGGGACAAGTTGGCGCAACTTGCTTGCGACCTGGGTCCTGCATTTTTGCGCTCCTGTCACACTGCATGCCTCTTGTAGAATTGCGATCACCTTAATGTGCAGCTATAAGGCTTCTTCCTCAGGCTGAACTCGCTGCCCGATTTACAGTACTACATGGACTCTGGCCGGATGTGATTGGGCGCCCTGTTGGTCCCTACAGCAAACAATGGTACTGGGGCGCCTCGAATACAAGAATTCCAGTTTACCACGCAAATGGCATGTGCGTTTTAGAAACAAGGTCTCGGTGCTGCTTGCACATTCGCGGGGCAAGTTGCCACCGTTTGTCTTGGCCGAGGCAGGGCTGGACTGTATGCTCAAGTATGTGCTGCTTGCCTTATACCCAAGGGGAATGGTACCTTATTAACTCCACCCAGCTGGGTGCCAAGCTTTTTCCGCGAATCTTGGGTGCAACAGCATTTCCACTAGATCTAAATCTGTTACAATTTCAGGTAATTGTACAAGAGATGACATTTGCGGTCCCTCTACTTAGTTTTTCTGCTTCATTGGCCAGTTGAAAAAGTGTTTGTCGCAGTCGCCTTTCCCTCCATTAAGCAAATGGTGGAGGCACATCCTGTCCTGGTGGGTTCTACCGCAATAGGCAGTTGTGTTGTTAACCCGCCGGATACCCTCCCTCTCGATCTAACAATCAATCCCACGTTGCCTGTATTGATGTTGCAAGTGCTGATTGTGCAGCTCATGCGACAAAGGAGCGGATACCTTGAGAATCGAGCTGGAATTTAGAATGCATTTTCTTTCGCTTCGTAAAGGAAAAGTATGTTTAGAGTCTTACTTCTCTGGTTTTCAAATAATGAAATTCCAAAAAAAATGAGTCATGCCAAACTGCTGGCACTTTAAACACAAGGCTGGCATTAAGTGAGCCTCGCAAGGTCGACGCCTTGTTCCAGTGCGTTTCTGCCCAGAAAGGGAAAGTGGAGACTTCTTTGGTAACAAGTTTTACAATTGCCCGTATAACAGCTGACACAGTCGATGCGATTGAATGATCTTTAGAGATAATTCATATGCTTCCACGCAAGCTTGCCCGCATTTGTGCTCCGGTGTTGCCGGGTTTGGTACAAAGTGAAATTCCAACCTTGTTGTTCTCTAACTTACTTCTTTGTAATAACAAAAATGCTTTGGACAATTTGGAGAATGGTGTGGGGATTTAAGGTAGAGACATAGTTTCAACTTGTAAGTACCCCAACAACTTATTCGGCTTAAATCCCAACAGCTCCGTATAAAGAAGTGGCCGGAGGTGTGACCTTATAACGCAAGTGGAGGCAGTGGTGGCAGTTTACAACGGCATGGCAAAACAAGTGAGCAGCCTCAAAGGCGTCAACAAGATCAGCGAAGGCGGAGTGGCCGTCATCAAGCTTTTTTTCAGATGGTTGGAAGCCATTTGGCTGCAGGCATAACGTTGGCAAGAAACATGGCGCACCTTGGGCAATTGTACGCCCGCGCTCTGCCGCAGACATTCGATCAGAATTCTTGCGTCTGTGTGGTTCCACCATGGTTAGAATGGCGGTCAGCTTACACTGGCTCCAGCAATTTTAAGGCTTGAAGAAAAAGTGGTTCTTCGCGGTTTCCACATGGAAGCTTGCTAAGACCTTCTGCATTACCACTTAACAAACGTTTTTGCAGTGGAAGAACTACCGCTTTTATTGGCCAAATCAAATTAATTCTTTAGATTAAGAAAAACTGGGCTTGTTGCCATCTTATCCTGGCAAATCTTTGCGGCGGTTGCAATGCTCCTTATGGGCAGAAAGTTCTGAAGGGAAAACACCTTTAATTAACCCGTAATCGCAATTTTAATGGTTATTTTTGCAAGCGTAGTGCACGGCAACAGGCACCTTTTTCAATGTTCTGTAGATGCACTGCGTTGCTCTCTTTAATGTCTGTACCGTTTGCCTAAGTTTTGTGGTGCGCAACTTAGCGCGTGGCAAATGTGACAGGTAAATTGTACTGACTTTTCAATTAGGCTCCACGTTTAAGTTTCTTAATCTGGGTGTTGCAAGAATGCGGAACAATGCCCTGCTCTTCCTCTTCCAGCAGAAGACGGGGTTTGGACACAACTGGACCTAGGGTAGAGCTGTAGAGGTTTGACGCGCCACGTGACACCGCACAGCCTTATCAGATCTCCGGAGCGCGCGGTTTTCAGTGTTAGGTTGCGTCTATCGCCCGGTAACGCTGCTCGGACAGGTCACGGCTTGGGACCTAACCAGAAGGGCTTCTGCTACGTCTTTTC